AATGAAAAACGAGATTTATCGGAAGATAAAAAACACAGTGAAAAGGATGTATCTGGAACAAATAATTCTGATTCGGTAGGAAATTTTCTTTTGTTTGATCTTTGTTTTATTGGTTATTTTTTTGTTTTCTATATAAAGAAATCAGGTTATAAACTAACCACAGATCAAGATTTTCAAATGTATCTTGATGAAATTCAACCACAAGTTACAAAAGTACCATTATCAGAACAAATATCAACTTTAGCAAGGTAAAAATTAAATAATTTTTATTTTATATTTAATAATTTTTATTTTATGAAGATTTGTAAGTGAAAAAATGGGTGGTACAATTTCACCTGATGATGTAGCTACATTTGGATATGAAGTAGCAATGAATCAATTAAAAACTGAACTTCATTCAAATGTTATACCAATTGGTCGAATACGAAAAGGTATTCATGCTCAACGAGCGTTTTTATTCAAAGTAAATATATTTCAAAAAAGAGAAAAATTATAAAAGAAAGAATTTTTATTATATAGACATTAGCTGATCGACTTGGAATACCGTGTACATTAACACGAGGCAATTATAATCGTGCTTGGAATGAAGTTATTCTTGGTCAATCATCTGGGGTATGTTATTATATTAAGAGTATATCTCATTTTTTTTGTAAATTTTATGGATAGTTAAATATTAGCAAAAACCTAGAGAAATTAAAATATGTCAAATGCATCAGAACTCAATAGCCTTTTTATGTGTTTGGCTTCGTTCAATTTTTATATCCTTCTTTGATACTTTGAAAGATAGATTTATCTATAAGACTATCGTATGAATATGTCAAAAATAACTTTTTACTCCAATATTGAATTGCCGGCATTTGATACCTTTGCAATAATATAATAAGAATTTTAGTTTATCTTGAAACTTGAACGTTTTTTTTTATTTACAATTTTAAAAAAGTTAAAGTTTAGATTGAAAGCTTTCGATTATACATGTTGAATAAAGATTCTAATCCAATGACAAATGATGATCAACATTCAATGGATAAGATAATAAAATGTAATCCTTTTGATGATGAATCTATTGAACGAATGCATGAATCATTAAGAAAATTAGAACATACATATTTGAAAAATAATGACAAACAGATATCATTCTATAATTCAGTTTGTGACAAAGAAAAATCAATATTACATGACAAATCTATACAATTAGTATGTCTATTGCATGTTAAATAGGATTTTGCTTATTAATTTTATTTTTCTTATTAAATGTATTTAATATATTAACGATTATTTTGATGTTTTAGGCCGTTCGATATCCAGCTAAAACATGGATTGTCGATTTACTTCATGAACCAGGTCGACTACTTCTTGCTAATTCTTCTGATGCTCGAATTTACACAATACTCTCTTAAAACTAATGACTCATAAACGTTGTAATACATCCGGTGGATATCATATTTTGAATCTACCACATTTCTTTTTTCTTTCATGCTCATGAATAACTTGTTCGATTTTTGATTTGTACGACTATTGAAAAATACAGTGATTTGACATGTGCATAAGAAGTTGTGTCATGTCATTTTAAAAAATTATTTACATATGATTTTTATTTTTAGTTATATTATTGTTTGTAAGCTGTTTGTTTCTATCTCTTTATTGTTATGATATTATTGTCTTAGGGTAAATGAAATTTTACATGATTAAGTTTACTAATGAGTCAGTAAATCCCAAAAATTCATTCGTCAACTTATGATCATTTTTAAATATATATTTTTGTATCGATTTAATTTTAAAACACAGTAAAATAACCTATTTAGTTTTTAATAGTAATATTCTGTCGTTCGATTATATTTTGAATCTATTGAATGGGATGAATAATTAGTTAAATTTAATTTATTAGTTCATTCTTTTAAAATTTTAATTAAAATATGAAAAATAAATTTTTTGATGATTCATATTTTCTAATTCAAAGCAATTTCATCACAAGTTTTTTTTTCATAAACTTATATTCGTATAATTGAAAACGAAAACAAATTGATAATGATGTAAGAAAACTACTATTTTGTAAATAGAAATCTGAATTTATCAACAAAACTTTTTCTTGTGCTGCCTCATCTTCTTATTTCATGAAATTAAGTCAAATGAATAAATAATATTTGAATACTATCAGATACACTTATACTTCTTTCAATATAGTATCGAATATTTATTTTTTTAATGAGTATATCAAATAATATTCTATGCATGATGTAGCAGCTTGTGTTAATCACCTATTAAGTTTTCGTTCTCTTTTCTTTGTATACCATGACATATGCGGAACGATTTGCTGATTACTCTATTTATTTTTTCAAAAAAAGAAGTATCATGAAAATTATACTTATCATTCTAATACTTTATTTCTTCATTAATTTAATATCAGTCGTTCAATGGTTCAACTTTCCATTGAATAAACTCTCAAAACTAATAATTTATTCATCGAATATTTATCATTCAAATTTTCATCTCCAACAATTTACATCTGATCAACAGAATCATGTGCGTCCTTTTAATAGGTCCATTGGTCAAGTTATGATTGCCTCTAACAAGAACTCTATAATTCGTTTACTTCTTCAAAAATTTCACACTCGCCCAATATATCGTTTTGATGATACTGGTTTTGTTTATTATCAAAATGATAATATCACAAAGAAAAGTAACCAAACAATTCTATATCAACAACAACATCAGTTTTTCGATAACCTTGTAACTTTTCATCCAGTTAATCGTGTCAATAATAATACATATACAAACATCATTGATCCAAAATTTCACTTTTTTCTTTCTATTGCTAAAAAAACTACAACATCTATTAATCATGTTGATCATCGTGTTTTCCCTCGAGTTCTATTATTAAAATTGCTTGCTGCTGCCTTAAAACATAATAATTCATCGATTATTAAAAATAAAATTCAATCATTTCGAGCTCGATCTGTACTGGAAAAAGCAATTATAAAAGGTGCAAAACAAAATCTTCAAGGTTTTACAACAAAAGCAACTAACAATAATGGTCTTCAATATCAACAACGTATTTTAGACGATTTTTACAATCAACAACAATTAAGAACATTTGATCAAAATACGAATGAGAGAAATGCTACAGATATTCATTTAAATATGAATTCAGTTTTGAAAAAACGAAAACCACGAAATGAAGAGGATAATAGTTCATCGAAAATATTTAATAATATGATTTTCGTACGAGATGCACCTGTAAATCAAGAAAATTTTAATCAGTATTAACATGAAAATAGTTTATTTTCAGTCATTTTTTTTTTCAAAGTAATCAATATATTTATTTTCTTTTTATTTATTTGAAAAATAAACCTTTGATTTTGGAAATGTATCATATCGAACAATATCTATATTATAGATCTTCTTTATAAGAAATTATTTCAAAGTTTTCAAGATCTTGATATAGTGAGTGATCGAAAAATAATTAGATAAAATGTTCTTTTGTTTTTTAACCTCGTAAAAAAGGAGCCTATAGAAAGTTGAAAACATTGGGTTACAATTAGAACTTCGTTTTCTTTTTGAATATTGGCTCAAAAATTTTGTAGAGCTTCGTGTTGAGAAGTTATGAGCAGATCTGTTCGAGACCCGTGAATTAATTTCGGACAAACATCAGTGCTACAAAAACTAACTAAAGAAAAAGGAGTTAATACGGGATTTCAGTGCTAATAGCATCCAAAAAAAACAAAAAATTCTACACAGAAAAAAAGTAATGGGGGTAAAATTTTCAATGCTAATATATATATAAAATTATACCCCCTTATTTCTGAGAAGGTTAGGGGGTAAAGGGGGTAAAATTTTCAATGCTAATATATATATAAAATTTTACCCCCTTATTTCTGGGAAGGTTAGGGGTAAAGGGGGTAAAATTTTCAATGCTAAAATTTATATAGAAATTATACCCCCTTACTTCTGGGAAGGTTAGGGGGTAAAGGGGGTAAAATGTTAGTGGTAAAATCTATATAAAATTTGACCGGCACGTTTTTGAGAATGTGTAGAGATTTTTTTTTCACAGCATACTAAATATGAATTCTATGCCCGGTTATTGGTGAAGAATTAAGGAAGAAGAATTTTTTGTATAAACGATACTATATATCAATTGAAAATTTGTTGTTATAATAAATGCGGAAACTTCGGATTTAAATCCGACAGTTATGTGTACTTCAAAAAGTGAATCATACGAATAAGTCAGCCTAGAATGTCTGAACATCAAAATTATACCGGGGAACCTGCCATTTAAAATGTTGATTTCTATTGCACGTTGCCAAACCAATAGGACTTGGGACCGAATACAGCTCAAGTTTGAACTCTTTCCCTTGAGGGTAATAATAATCGGCCGAATTTTTGGCCTACGGCCTACGCGAGCCTAAAAAATATTATTCGTTTGTTTTTCTGTTCGTATGAATCATCTGCAGAACGAAAAAAAAATAACCAATTATTTTCGTAGGCCTACGTAGGCCGTAGGTCAAAAATTCGGCCGATTATTATTACCCTTCCCTTGATTTAACCTAAGAAAGTCATTTTTCCTATAACTTCATTTCTATTAGTCACTACACAATCAATAGTATTTCGATGGAAGTGCAGTACACATTCGAGTTCTCCATCTCTGAAAACCTCGAAGTATCATCAGTGTGATCGGAAGCTAGAGCTCGATTTGTGGATCAATTAAATCGTGGACCAAAATATAACCTAGTTCTCTTTAATTATCCTTGTCATCGGTGAGTCAACCTTCTTGTTTCTCTATGCTTTATATATGATTTTGTAGCTCTTGAAATTCTCTATCGAATGGTATATAATAATTGGGGTTTTATTTGACTATGATAGGAAAAGTCTTTTACGAAAGCGGCGATGGGTCGATTTTTCCACAGAAAGCTATAGAGAAAAATGGGTATTTTTGAAATAACTCAGGAATGACTCGGCCGATCCTTCTCATCTTCGAACTCGACGGAGATATTGTCAATACTAAGCAGTGTAGAAAGTTTCATCGCAATCTGACTCTGCTGTCAAAAGTTATCATGTAAACAGCCAACCGGACGGATGGACACACTGACTATTTTATAGTGTACTCACTTTTTGAGTACACAAAACTATGATTCGGTTCAAAACTAATATCAGATTCAGAATCAGCGTTAAAAACTGAGTCGATTTATGTATTTTGTGAATAATTATGAGCAAAAAATTTTTTTTTCGAAAAATCCCCGTACCCCCCCTCAGGGATGGTCTCGTCAAAAATCACAATTTTTTCGATAACTCAGTCATTTCTTGACGGATCCTTCTCATCTTCGAACTCGACCGAGATATTGTCAAGACTGATCTGTGTAGAAAATTTCATCGCGATCTGACTCTCCTTTCAAAAGTTATCGAATAAACGGACGGCCAGACGGCCGGACACACTGACCGATTTTAGTAGTGTACTCACTTTTTGAGTACACAAAAAGAACTTAACTGAACAACGGTAATGAATCTCGTTCAAATAAAATCTACTTCATTCTCTAAAACTCAAGTTTTTGCGAAATTTATTTTTCTCAAATGCTTTTATTCAATTTAGGTGAGAGATCAATTATT